GCCTTTGTTCGACCTCTTCCTAAAATCTCTAATCCCTCTCTTCCCACTCATTTCCGTCCCATCTCCATACTTCCTTTCCTTTCCAAAGTGCTTGAGGCCTGTGTCCACAAACAACTGGCTGACTTTATTTACAAAAATTCGCTCATAAGTCCCCTTCAATCTGGTTTCAGGCCGGGCCACAGCACGGTTTCCGCTCTCCTTAAGGTGACTGGCGATATTAGAACTGGTCTCGAGAGCACTAGAGCCACAGTTTTGGTTTTAGTTGACTTCTCGAACGCCTTCAATATGGTCAGTCACGACATCCTTTTAGCCATCCTTTCCCATCTAACGATCTCTGACAAATCATTGAACTGGTTTTCATCTTATCTTCGGGCCCGCCAGCAGTCTGTCAAGCTTGATGATACTTCATCGGGTTGGCGCGAATTAACGGCTGGTGTTCCTCAAGGCGGCATACTATCACCTCTTTTATTCTCTATCTTCATTAATCTCATTACTTCTGAACTTCAGTGTGCGTACCATCTATACGCTGACGATTTGCAACTGTACTGTCAGGCCAGTGTTGACAGACTCTCTGATGCGATCTCGGAGATGAACGGTGACCTGGTATCCATCAAGAACTGGTCCGAGAGATTCGGTATATCAGTTAATCCCGGCAAATGCCAGGCTATTATAATAGGTAGCTCCCGTACGCTGGGTGGAATAGACCGAGCATCATTACCAGCCGTGCTCTTTGATGGTGCAGTAATCCCGTTTGGTACTGACGTCAAAAATCTGGGTTTGCATATTGACTGCAATTTAAAGTGGCATGCTCAAATCACAAATGTATGCAGGGGGGTTACTGGATCATTGCGTGCTCTGTATCGCGTAAAAAATTTGCTTCCTCCCGCTACGAAGGCCATGTTGGTGCAAGCCTTGGTTTTCCCTATCATCGATTATGCTGATGTCTGCTACTACGACCTGAATGCAGATCTCCTCAATAAGCTCGACCGACTTCTAAATAACTGCATCCGATTCGTTTTCAACCTGCGTAAATACGATCATGTTTCTGCACATCGGTTGCAACTAAAGTGGCTGCCCATACGCCAGCGCAGGGAGCAAAGGGCGCTAACCACTCTATTCTCCTTTCTTTCTTCACCTTCTTCACCCAGTTATCTATCCCCTTACTTTCAATACTTATGCGCAAACCACAGTAAAAATCTTCGTTCTTCTCACAACCGTCTTCTCCAATGTCCCACTCATCGCACTGACTTCTTACATTCATCCTTTTTCGTACAGGCAATTTTTCTGTGGAATGCGCTCCCCCTGGATGTCAGGATGGTCTCAACTCGACTAACTTTTAAGCAGAAAGTACGTGAGCTTTTCCTAAAGAGGTTGGCTGAATCATCGCGCTAACTATCCACTGTGTACTAGTAAGCAAGTATATATTTATATATTATGTATATATGTATGTATGTAGGCATATTGTACTCATGTGTAGGTATACATTATAATTAAATTTATTTATGTATGTATATCTCCGAAATATATTAGTTTATCTTTCATTCTTAAATAAAATCACTGCTTGCCTCTTGCACCTACCATTTACTCTTCTCTGCATCACCCAAAGGTCAGACTGGTAGAAAATGCCTGCGGCATTAAGTCCACCTTTTTGTACATTTTGTGCATGAAGCATTTTAAATAAATAAATAAATAAATTGGTCCCTTGAGACTCTTGTCGAGAGAAGATGTTGTGACAATTTCTACTGTCTTCTATTGTCTTCACAATAGGGCAATACATAACACCTTAAATACATACGTATATTACGACATGGCGTCTCCTTCTATAGATAAACAAGTACAGTCTTATGTTTATAGGCCCCGAAATCCGGCCATTGTGTAAACACCATGGGAACACGTAGATAAATAGTAAATATTTGCATTTTCACACACACTACTTCTGAAAATAAGGTGTTACATAAGCATGGAAACTTCGCTAGATACTTACTACGGTTTTTGAGGTATTTTTAGTTTACACTTTGAGGGGCACGTATAGAAATGAAACAATTATTCAAATTAATTTTATAGCAAAAGATTTTCAACTGTCCAATTTTGTCAGCATTATAACAGCTCACACATAGGACCCTCTTAGTTTTTAGTCAAATTTCCGCAGGGCCTGGCGACTGGGCTTCACCCAGTTGTACAGTCTCTTTTTTTGTGCCTTCAGGCTTAATATATTCTGTCCCCTGCAGTAATTCGCCGAGGGAAATTGAAACTATCATGTGTTTTTCTTCTCCTCTTATAATATCTTCTGATTCACGTCGTTGCGGGAACCAAGACAGTTATTCATGTCTCTGGGATGAGCCGGACTTCAGTGTTCCGGTGTTTTCATGGTTGTATCTACTGTAGATCTTGGCTTACAGGAGTTGCAGCGGTTTTGGGAGGTTGTGGCGGGCTTGTCCCTCATTGTGTCCAATTTTGTCGTCATTATTCTTGTTCAAATGTTCAATTGATAACACGGAGAAAGAAATTGATGAACCATTATTAAATCTGACTCAATTCTTTTTCTGTAATGTAGATATTCAATAAAACATACATATTTTCAACTGGAAAAGAATAAAATATACACATACAATACAATAAAATAAAATAAACGTCGCAATCAAATTAATAAATAACTCGACACCTACTTATTTACGACAGATTTCGAAAACTATAAAACATAAAAACAAGAAATAAATATAATTAAAGTGTCTACAGTGTTAAAATAATGTTTGACTTTAAGAACCAGTGATTTTGTATCAAGTTTATGTGTTATATAAGTGAATTTATTATCTATAAGTGAATAAAATAATTAATTATGTCAGTCTGGTTGACTCTGGTCAAGAGTTCCCATTGGGGGCTCCCGTGCAATCCCAGACCTGTTTTTGTAAGTATTTTATGTAGTTTGTTAATGTTTGCAAACTAATCTTTGATTAGTAACGCGACTTCAATTAAAGCCACGTTTCCTGATTCTATTTTTTGGAATTAGCCGGTAAACGAGCTGACAGGTTACCTGATGGTAAGCAATCGGCGTCGCCCATGGACATCCAAAACACCAGAAGTGTGACAAGTTCATTACCGGCCTTTTGGTGATTAGGAATTTGAGGATTGTTGGGTATTCGGGGATTGGGGAG